GGAGAAGATTTTTAAAGAATTAATGCATTTTCACTATATAATCATTAGAGCCCCGCTCTAACACCAGAACCCCTGACCCATGGGCCAAGAAATTCACAATTTTGGAAGAGGCACTCTTGCTCATCATAACTATGTACTTACTTCGTCGGCTAAATACACAGGAGCAGAGGAGAAGATTTTTAAAGAATTAATGCATTTTCACTATATAATCATTAGAGCCCCACCCTAGCGCCAGAAGCCCTGATCCTGGGCCATGAATTTCGCAATTTTGGTAGAGCGCTTAATGCTTATTACAATCATGCCAACAGTTTGACTGCTTGATGTCCAGGAGTAAAGAAGAAGATTTTTTAAGATTGCATTAATTTTGATTGTTTTAGCCCCACCCCTCAGACCCCAGGGGGGCAGGGGCCATGAATTTCAAAATTTTTACTCCCCTTCACCCATAGATACTATATGCCCAATTTGGTTGAAATTGGTTCAGTGGTTCCAGAGAAGAAGCTAAAAATGTTCAAAAGTTTACGACCGATTGACGACGAACGACGTACGACGACGGAAGAAGGTCACCTGAGTGACTCAGGTGACCTAAAAACGTACATGGAACAAAACTATATCTAGACTTTAATGATCTTCGATTCTCAAAAACTACACACTTTCACATACATACACCTGGGTATAACGTTGAAGTTTGTCAACGTTGTTTTGCGATCAAGCAATCAATAAGAAATAGTAAAACAAAAATAATTAAATCAAAATTAATATTTTGCTTTGGGAAGACAACGTTTTGGCCGAATCTGCAAATCCTTAAAACTGCAGCTAGTTCCCACATGGATTTGAAAGTAAAACATTTCCTCAAGTCCAACAGATAGTTCCAGGGGATCAAAATGTTTTATATCACACTTAAAACGTTTAAAGATATATTTCATGTGATTGAAAAGTTTTATTTCCTTACAGATCCCTGAATCGATGAAAATCACCTTTTTGATATCCGATCATGCCATACCTGGAAATAAAAGAGAAAATGAATTTTAGGAACATCACAATTCCTGTTCTCTGTATATATAAGCTACAAAAACACCTTCAGTTTCCTGAATACGAGTTCTCATATTCACAGTGCTGTTAAAACGGATATAAGACCACGGAACATTAACTGGCAAAATTGGAAATATGCAGCTTACGTCATTTCCATCTTTTACAGTCAAAACATTTAATGATAGACAATGAAATGGGCTGGTGACAATTCGACACGGACGTCCGAGAAAGCATTGGATAGAAATTCTAGTTTGAAATTCATTTTTCAACACACCTCAGCTACACTAGAACACATGGTGTTACTGATTGACCCAGAAGACAAATAATTTCAATTTTGGAATAGTTTGAAATTTATATAAATCAGAATTTCCTGTCCAGTGTTTTTAAAGAAATATAAAGGAACAAATATTTGATTTCTGATTGGTATGTGTTTGCTGGGAGGGTGGGGGGAGGGGGTTGAACGATCTTAGAATAAATATGAAAGTTTTCTTTTAGTTTGGACAACCCCCCCTGCTCTTGTTTGTCAAACATTTTTCAGTGAAGACAAAACTAAAAAGAATAAGCTTTTGTCATCCTAGAAATAAATATAATCTGTCATGTGAAGGCATGATCTGACTCGACAATTTTTGACAGCCCCCCCCCCCCCCCCTTTAGAATCAAATGACCATCCCCTGAAAAAAATAGTCTATGTCTTCTATTACTTTTACGTGTCCTTAAAATTATAGCCTAAAGTACTCATATAAATATGAATTTCAAACAACATGTATTTGGGAATTGTAATCATGGTCAATATATTAACAAACTATCAGTGCTTCTGTACTATTTTAATTCCTTGTGGAAATCTCTTACATTGGCCTCTCTTTGTTGAAAATTTAATAAGACAAGTTATTTTTGTCTCGTTTTTATTTATCTATTACTTACAAGTCCACCTGATCATTAAAACTATGAAAATACTTTTTGTATTATACAATAAAAATTCTTGCATAATTCTCTTATTCTATTAATCTTTCAAGTACATTATTTACAGTGGTTAATTATCAAAAGTAAATGGCAAAGGGGAATAACTCCTCTCAGTAGAATACAAATTAATAGAGCCCTGGCTAGGACCAGAACACTTGACCAAATGGTCCAGATGTTCAAAAATCTGGTAAAAGTAACCCTTCCTTATTACAACTTTTACTCTTTTTGCCTCTGATATGCCCAAGTGCAGAGAAGACTTTTAAAGAAATAATGCATTTTTACTACAGATTCACAATATTATCAATAGACCCCCCCCCCCCTTTCACCACCGAGAAACACCAGAGCCTCTCACCCTGAAACCAGAAGTTTGCTCATCATAAGTAATCACTTTGTTTATCTGCTTAACATTAAGGAGCAGACAGGATTATTTAATAGAATTAATGCATTTTCACTATATTATCCAGAGCCCCACATTTACACCAGCACATCTGACCCAGGGGTCATGAAATACACTACTCTGGAAGAAGCACTCTTGCTCATCATCACTATATACTTAGCTTCTTTGCTTTTTAACCAGAAGCAGAAAAGAATATTTTCAGAGAAATTTTGCTTTTTCACTATATAATCAATAGAGCCCCCCACCCACCTTTTCACCAGAACCCTTGACCCTGGGGCCATGAATTTCACAATTTTGGAAGAGGCATCCTTGCTTATAATAACAATGTATTTAGTTTGTTTAAATAATATCCAGGAGCAGAGAAGAAGATTTTTAAAGCACTAATGCATTTTCACTATATAATAAATAGAGCCCCGCCCTAAAATCAGAACTCCTGATCCTGGGGCCATGAAATTCACAATTGTGGTAGAGTCACTCTTGCTTATCATAACTATTTATTTAATTTGTTTAAATAATACCCAGGAGAAGAAAATAAGATTTTCAAAGAAATAATGCACTTTCACTATATGATCTATATAGCCCTGCCCTAGCACCAGAACCCCTAACCCTGGGGCTATGAATTTCACAATTTTGGTAGAGTCACTCTTGCATATCATAACTTTGTATTTAATTTGTTTAAATAATACCCAGGAGTAGAAAAGAAGATTTTCAAAGAAATAATGCACTTTCACTATATGATCTATATAGTCCCCCCCCCCCCCCATAAGCACCAGAACCCCTGACCCTGGGGCTATGAATTTCACAATGTTGGTAGAGTCACTCTTGCATATCATAACTTTGTATTTAATTTGTTTAAATAATACCCAGGAGTAGAAAAGAAGATTTTCAAAGAAATAATGCACTTTCACTATATGATCTATATAGCCCCCCTCCCCCTTAGGCACCAGAACCCCTGACCCTGAGGCTATGAATTTCATAATTTTGGTAGAGTCTTTCTTGCTTATCATAACTATGTATTTAATTTGTTTAAATAATACCCAGGGGTAGAGAAGAAGATTTTCAAAGAAATAATGCACTTTCACTATATGATCTATATACCCCCCCCCCCCCCAGCACCACAACCCATGACCCTGGGGTCATGAATTTCACAATTTTGGTAGAGTCACTCTTGCTCATCATAACCATGTATTCAATTTGTTTCAATAATACCCAGGAGTAAAGAAGAAGATTTTCAAAGAAATAATGCACTTTCACTATATGATCTATATAGCCCAGCCCTAGCACCAGAACCCCTGACCCTGGGGACATGAATCAGACGTTCTTATTGAGGGACAAAAGCATAAAGTATCTCTGTTTACTATAGTAATCTATATATCGGCAAAATTATTGGGGGGCGTGCCCCCCCCCCCCCCCCTACGGCCATGAAATAAATAAATAAATTCAGAATTAATCTAGCATCAGAAATGTATTCATATGATACAGAGGGGTGGGATTCGTTTCATAGCTGCATTTAAATGAATAAAAGTGTTTTAAAAACATACTCTCCTATACGGAAGCCCATTTAGGACCTATCAAAAATATTTTTGAATTCGATATAACGAATTGTAAAATTTGTTATAACGAATTTAATTCGTTATAACAATTTCTTTGAATTCGTTATAACGAATTTAATCTGTTATAACAAATTTGTTGAATTTGTTATAACGAATTCAAAAATTTGTTATAACAAATTAAATTCGTTTAAACGAATTCAAAAATTTGTTGTAAGGATTTAAATTCGTTAAAACGAATTCGCCAAATCATTATATCAAATTCATACATATCTTTCTAAAGGCTCTGATTGTTGAATTTGATTTAACGAATTTAATTCGTTATAACAAATTTTTGAATTTGTTATAACGAATTAAATTTGTTTCAACAAATTTTAGATTTCGTTTAAACGAATCTTATTAGTTATAACAAATTTTTGAATTCGTTATAATGAATTCAACAAATTTGTTATAACAGATTAAATTCGTTATAACGAATTCAAAGAAATTGTTATAACGAATTAAATTCGTTATAACAAATTCTACAATTCGTTATATCGAATTCGAAAATATTTTTTGATAGGTCCTAAATGGGCTTCCGTACTCCTACATGTGTGTGCTGTTAGATATAATAGTTGTCAGAGTACAATGAGTATATGTGCATCTGACTACTAGCATTCAAGTTCAAGAAGATACAGTCATTTGCTAAACTTCTTTATGATTAAAGCGCTGCAATTCTGCGAAAGCCTGACGTTAGTAGGCCGAAAATTAATTTGTATTGAATTAATAACTTTAATATCTACAGCCAAAACAAAACCGATGTAAAATATGTGATGTACCTTTGAAGTACATTGTCCTGACAAGTTAATTTGCAGGATAAAGTACAATTACTGTACGTGTATAATTGTAGTATTTCAGGTACAAAAAGATACATCTTTGTTATTGTGTGTATGACTATAAGTGTATTTTCGACTTTTTACAATTTACAATGAATGACTGTAATTGAAAAATAAATATAAATACTTAAGTGAATGAAAACAATAATACAAAATGTTCATTAAGGAATGTTTACAAGATATAATTACCTAGGTCTTACCTTCATCTGTTAGACTAAGCTTCCCTAATTCATCCTTTTCATGTGGGTCAACACCAGCATCATACAGAACAAGATCAGGTCTAAAACTGTCCAGCAGCCAAGGGAGATAGGACTGTACGTGGTTTAAGTAGTCTTTATCCTACATGTAAAGCATATGATTTCCAGCCAACGCTAATTGTAAATATTTATATATAATCATGATTGATTTTAATAATAAACTAGAGGTACACTGAGCACTGAGCTCACAAAATGATACCCTCCGCCTCTCATATGTTTATAATGACAAAGTCCATGTCTGGGAGACCCAAAATAAAAGTCCGATCAAAAACTAAAATAGAAGGTGCCCAATGGCACTATAAAATAAAGATTCTGTGAAAGTATCATTAAATTTTGTTCAGTGGCAGGGCTCAACATTTAGGCACGTCCGACCGACTCAGACAAGTAAACGTTAGGTCCGGTCTTGTTTATTTTGCTTCTTGGTAGCCTGACTGGTCGTGTAAATATATTTCGACCGAAGTTTAAATGAAGCAAAACTTCAACAAATTTACAAATTTTTCTTGTTTATCGATGTGTTAGATCAGGTTCCACTTTCATTTTTGATCCCAATGTAAAATAAAATAACCGATGAACCATAATTTTTCGATTTACAGTCACTTCGTACACAAACCGAGTCGTACACAAACCAACTCGTATACAAAAAGTCAACTCGTACACAAAAAAAAGTCAACTCGTATACAAACCAGAAGTCAACTCGTACACAACTCATACATACGTTTTCCTATGTGATTTAAGGTAATATTTGCCATAGTTTCCAAAAAAATTGAGAAGTCAACTCGTACACAAATGTGTTTTCTGTACATTTTTAACTAGTTTAATGCCTCTGAATTTCCATATACCATATGCGCGATGCGATGCGCAGATTGATTTGTTGACAAGATTTTCCGGAATGTATGTCGTACATAATTTTGTTATATGAATATTGACACATGATGTCATTATATATACTCTCTATCTCTCTATAGTGCTACTTATTTATTATACTTTTTTATTCAATATTATGGTCATTTTGGTTTCTCATCTTTCATTCTTTGTTGTGGTTTATTAATGAAAACAGACAAAGACATATAATTTCTTATTTATTTTTTATTTGAATAATATTTAATACCAAAACAAAAGTAAGATAAAACAAGCACAAGTAACAAGCACTATTAGACTAGTCCACTCAAGTCAATTATTGTTCATAAAACACAGTCACAAGAAGCACAGCTAAAACACACTAAAACTAAATTCACTACAAGCACTACTGGTCACAAAACACAGTCACTAGAAGCAGATAAAATACACTAAAACTAAATCACAACTCAGTTTTGGTCACAACACAGTCAGATTTCATAAGGGGCTGTACAGGCGGCCAAGTTTCTTCAGAAGGGAAGATGTGGAGATGTCTCCCATGGCATAAGTGGACCACAACTGGAATATCCTGGCCTGGACCTAATATGAAAAATAAGACACGTAAGTAAGATCCCTCATCAAGTAATGAAATAATTCAAAAGTATGTTTAAACAAAGTTAAAAAGGTAAGATTAAATTAAATTATATACTCTATGTTGGCACTTTATTTGTAAATTAATTTAAAATATCTCAATTATTAATTGAAATTCAAGTTACCTTTCTGGTGGACTTCCTCTGCAGCCTCTGCAGCTTCCCCTCACTGACCAGGCGTCTCTGCAGGGGGAGGAGGTCAGCTTCCTTCCTCAGGAGGTCTAGGAGGACGTAGAATGGCAGGTTGTGGGACCCTTGGGCCTTCTGCATGTTCATCCTGGTGTGCCAGCCTTCAACCTGAAAAAGTAATGTTTAAATTATTATAATTACAGTATATATTTATATTTATAAATTTCATTACATTGTATAGATGTGAAGTAAATTTTACAATATTAACTGATAGAAAGAGTTTTAAATTAATATAAATTGAATATTTTAAACTTTATAATTTATCAACATGTGTAAACTTCCTTAAAATATTACCTCGTTGTTTGTCCGGATGGACTGGTTGAAGGTACACCAGGATGACACAGGCCAGGTGCGGTTGTTGATCCATGTCCGTTGGACGTAGTCAACAACTTCCCTCAAGGGTCCCTCCTCCCCCACGGAGTTGCTTATCCTCTGGAAGGCAGGAACGATGTGCTCCTCAGGGATGAGAGGGAGAGCCATCAACTTCCGGACACACTTGTTGACGTCGTCTCTCTCTCTGTATGCAACCTGATTAAAATAAAAGCAAAATTAATGTTCTGAGATTGAAATTTGAAGAGTGTCTTATGTCTTGAAATTTTATATATCCTTTTTTATATCATCTATCTTCATTTATATATATATATGTTTAAAACACTTTTTAATTATATAATATATATTTAATTATATAAATAATAATTTTTTTAATATTTTACCTGTAGTCCATTCTCCTGGACCTTACACATTAACACATGTAATAATAAAATAAACATACAATTGAAATGAACAAAACATGTAATATTTTTGATGATCTATAAATTTGATAAAGAGACTGTTCTTGTGCACTTGCTGATTGCAAAAATTTTCCTAAATTACATAATTCTTTTATATTCTGTGTACTAAGTAACTGTACCAATTTGAAGAGGGTTGGTCTTCAGAAGTAGTAGATTTTAATGTATTTTTGTCTTCACATGTTAACACAAAATTCATCTTCTATGTTAAATGTATTAAGAATAAATGCTGTAAAACTTTATTTAAACACTGACATGACAGAAAAATTGAATTGTTGAAGTTAATCTATTAGATTAAAGAAAATTTGATAATGTAATCATAGTGACTAGTGTACACACTACATCAAACAAAATTATCTTTTTTTAAAACTAAGTATTTGATATACACACAATTATTTTTACTGATAATTTAGTATTTATACCCTTCATTGAACAAAATAGAATTCATCTCTAACATGATTCAACACATAAGTAAATCTTAAATAAAGATATAATGCAAATAATAACACAGTGACACACACATATAACAGTAATATTGAAATAATACTGTAAACAAAAATGGTATACATATATTTATAGATCTTAATCTTAATTGGCTATACACATCAAAGACACATTGCTTAACTATAACATATTCTCTAATTGTATCAACATTTTGGCACATGAGTTAATTAAATCAAGATTGTCAAATTCATTCTTAATTCTTAAATTAATTCTTAAATAAACGGAATTATCTTAAATAATTCTTATATTGTAAATTTAAATATTTTATTTGTTAAATATGTAGTTGAAAAACTTAATTCAAATGGATTTCTAATTGTCAACAGAATTGATATATGTAGTTTTTATATTTCTAAAAAGTTTTCTGTTATGCAAGTAATGCATGTTGATGTAGAATATAATATTTTATAGCATCCTAATTTATTATGTTAAATAGATTTTTAGTGTAGATAGTAAATTCGATCTAAATACATGGTAAGAATTTAATGGTATACTGTATAACACATTTTTCTTGCACTTATCAAAAGTTATTTAAATGAAAAAAGTTTTGAAAACTTACCGTCTTGCTGCAGGAAAGACAACTCTCTCGAACCATGGTGAAGTATAAGGAATGAAGAAACTTGGAGACGTTTTCGATACATATAGTATCTCATAATTAAAGGATACCGAATTATGAGCATCTCGTAATTAGCGTTTGTCGCAGATCCAAGAAACCACCGCGCGGGTGTTGGTTTAACAATACTTCTTTGATGTCTTTGATGTCCCTATCCTATCAGGGAAGTTGAATTATTTAAATATTTAGGGGAAAAAACTTAAAAAACTTAAAGAAAAGTAACACTTCGTGTTATCAAATATTATTTGTATAAAATTAAATAATAACGATTGTATATAAATGTTGTGTACGAGTTGACTTCTGGTTTTTGTGTACGAGTTGACTTTTTGTATACGAGTTGGTTTGTGTACGACTCGGTTTGTGTACGAAGTGACTGGACACCAATTTTTCCCCTGCCAAATCTGTGTTTGATCAATCAGCTGATGCAGTTATTACCAAGAATGTTAATTGTAGCTTTATTTGAGATATAAAATGTGTCAACCTAGTCAACATTCAACTTAATTACGAAGAGTAATGATCATTATTATATCATCTAGCATTTCCCCCACAACTTTTTGAACTTCGTTCTCTACCGCAAGACAGCCATGATGGGTGCCCACTGTAAATATCACACCTGGTTAGTTCAGTCCGTGAATGTTTGACCCTATATTATAAGTCAGTATGTGAGGTAGTTTATATTAGCCGAAAAAAATCCCTATCGACCAACACTTGCTTCTGTGTGAATGTAACAGGAAACATATTTTTTTGGCCTTAGTATACATATCAATATTTCATTAATCATGCTACCATTTGACTTGCTTTTTAAAGCTAACTCTACCAAGATGTTTTCTTCCTGCTAGGTCATTTATGATAGCTGTTGCACTGTGTGTTTAATTTAACCAGTGATAGAACTTAATCGAGTTGAAATATAATACATCCCCCTTTCTGATATTTTCTTGAATTTAGTAAAAAGAGTTATATTATATAATTTTCTTTGCACCAAAACCAACTTAAGGTAAGCATCGATTTGCTTACACTGATAATGTTTTTCAACTCTGGGGTTTTCTCTTCATGATCATATTCACGTTGTAACATAGGCGTCAGAAGCAAATTGAAAGTGGGGGGTTAATTAAAAGTGGGGGACTAAACCAACAAAAAAAAACGTATGGGGACTTAGCCCCAATTTTCAATGCCTATATTATGTCTATCTTTGCTAAAAAAAAAAAAGTAGGGAGGCTACCCCCCCCCCCAGCCTCCTCCCCTGGTTCCGACGCCTATGTAATATTGATTGGTTCAGTGAACCATGGATATTAGGTCAGGTCTAGTGAAATTGAGGTCAGGTCTAGTGAAATTTTCATGTACTAGTCCGACTGGTCTAGTTTATTTTAAAGTTAATGTTGAGCCCTGCAGTGGTATAGAAGAAGTTGCAGATAAGAGATGGGTACCCCTCAATATTACAGAAATTGTTTTTCTATTGGAAACCCGAAATATGTGTCCGATCAAAAAGTAAAAATAGGAAGTGCACAATGGCACTATGAAACAAAGATTCTGTAAAAGTCTAATTAAATTAAATCTTGTTCAGTGGTATAAGAGGAGTTGCAGATAAGAGATTTGTACCCTAAAGCGTAACAGATGGACGTGCAGACAGAAGGATGAGCGGAGGTACGCCACATCACTATACATTCCCTTCTTTTCAAGCGAGGGGGGGTGTGTGTTAATTAACACTATACCATTTTCACAACTTTGTCCAAAGGGGGGGGGGGGGGGAGAGAGACGGAAAAAATTAAAATCCTAATAAAACTTCACAGCTGTCTCCCTTTTCTGAACTCTAATCTTGATAAGGAAATTATTAACAAAAGCTTGAACCTCAAAGTTAATTTCATGGGCAATAACATAAGTATACTGAAGTATGAATTTTCTGCCGAAAACTTAAAGTTATACAGCCTTGATACATAGGAGCAGCAATAGTCTAAAATTTGAAATTATTGCAATCAAGATCTCTAAAGTTCTGGACCTGACACCTTAAAATTTGATATTCCCCAAACTAGTTGGACGATGACCATGCCCTTTAATTTGACGTAGAGGCAATATCTTTCAATGCAATTTTAAAGATTTGAGGAGTACTGGTCCCGACACCATTTCGCTACTATTGCCCAACGATCTTGACTTGCGAGATACAGTCTTTAGTCAAGGTCGTGATGTATTTGGAATAGTTTACAAATATTAACATATTAAGTAGTTGGTCTTTGATATGTTGATTTAGACTTTACATTATATAAAATGTGGAACGCATGTATTTTCAATATTTTCAAGTAAGATGAAAAATCTCTTTGAACAGTTGAGTGAAAGGACCTTCTATCACTGGACTGGGTGAAGTTTAACTGGAATAGGGAAAGAATGATCGTCAGAACTCGCTGGAGTATTGTCGACACTTTCTCCATATTAAATTTAGGATTGATTGATTGCGTTTTGTTTTACGTCTCATTCGAGAACTTTTCACTCATATAGAGACGTCACCATGTACCGGTGAAGGGCTTCAAATTTAGACCTTTACTCGGCTCTCAGGACCATTGAGCAGTGAAGGATCTTTATCGTGCCAACGTCTGCCGTGACACGGGGCCTCGGTTTTTAAGGTCTCATCCGAAGGACCCTCAACTTTCACTTCAAAGTGCCGAGCGCTTGGCGAAGGAACAGTTACTACCTATTTTTTATCGACTTAGGTCAGTCGCGGCCGAGATGCGAAGTCACGACCTTCCGATCACGGAGCGAGCTTTTAACTTCCACATACTAGTCTGTTGCAGCCATCCATCATTTAGAAATTAAAATTGCTCAGCTAGTAATTGGCGCGTTTTTTTAATCAGAGGAATCGATACGTTGAACGCAGCAATATCATAAGACAAGAAGAACAGCGTCAGATCCTTCTATTTGAATACTCAAAATGTCTTTCGATTGTGAGTCACATATAACTTTTCAGGGCTAGTCCGGAATGAAAATAAAAAGGGTCAGAGAGAAGTTATCTCTTATGCGTTGTTAAGGCTTCTGATAGGGTGTCAGTAAGGGAATTCTGCTCAAGACACAACACTTTGGTAAAAACAGTACAAATGGTTCAGGAATGAGCACGGTGAGTGCTCCATGATGTCTGAACAAAACAAAGGATTCCAGCCTCTAATGCCAATTGTTAAGTCTTCAACTTATCCTTCATCAGTGTTTAGAAATGTCACCCATATTCTTTTCCAACATCATCTACATGAAAATTAATTCATCAGATGACCGTAAATGGATACAAGATTTGGATGTTAAGCTTAACAATAGAAAGAAGGACGTGTTATGTAGTCCATTCACAGAAGTTTCCGATTTTTTACATTCTAGGTAAAGACCTCAATCGAACTAAATGAACAGTGACCATTGCCAGCTTGACAGGGTAGAGAAGAAAAAGAAATTGGGCATCATAATTTACAAGACTCTCTGTTGGTATGACCAAATCGAACTCACAACAAAGAATGCAAATAATATGCATGCTTCTGGCCAAAATTGTCTACCAATAGCCTTTGGACAGAAAGTGAAAGGTCACAACACAATCGCATTAACAGCCATCCAAGAGTACAGAAGCATCAATTGGAATCCTCTAAAAATGATTCAAATTGCGTCACAGGAGGGAAAGTTAATCTCTTTCAGATTTAATTATTCTTATTACTTTTTCCCCGTTATCAACACAAATACATACAAATAATAAGACGAGTCTATGCCAGAGATGAAATGCATCAAAAAGAAATGACAGAGAGCCTCACACTTATACTGGTTTAAAAAATTTCTTTTCTAGACATGCATCTGGGTCCGTAATATTTTTTAAAAGGCAAGTCCACTTTGTCGAGTTATTTGTACTTTTGATGGGTGACAAAGCCTTATTTAAATTCTTAATTAATGGAAAAAATTCAGGAAGTCTACTTGAAATTGGTGGTTCAAAAGAAGTCAAAATACTCAAGTTAACCTGTTATAATTTTTAAAAAAAACTAAGAGAAAAAAATTTGATTAGAAGAGTTCATCTGATGCCCTTATTAAGAGCTCTCCCAAAGTTAGTTTCTAGTTTAGGTGGTCTGAGTTTAGTAGTATCACTTGTAGAATACTTACGGAAATTCCCGTTATAAGCCCTATATCCATGTCGCTTGCCTGTTTCTTTAAAGGATAGTTTTTTTCACAGTGCATTGAGAAAGTAAAAATTGCACAACTGTCGCTGAAGATGTAAGCTGTGCCGTCACCCTGTACAATAAATCAATATATATAAATTTTTATTTCAATCAGTTGATTTATTTAAATTTTAATTTTGACTTAAAATGAACCACAAGCATGGTCTTTGGTACATGTACGTCGATGTATGACTCCAAAACTACAGTTTTTTAGATTAATTTTCATGATTAACTCCATCCTTCGTCTTAAGAGTCTAGACGGGCAGAAAAATCAAAATTTTTATTCCGTTTTGATAACAAATTTATTCTGATATTGGTTCAGAAATTTCCGAGAAAATGCTGAAAATAAGTTTACGTTGTTCACACATTCAATATTCGCACGGAGGGTCGGAATGAATTCTTTTTTTATAGGAATAAAATTCGTTTAAACGAAATCAACTTTGTTATAACGAATTATACATGTATTTGTTTAAAGGAATTCGACAATTCGTTATATGGATTTCATAATATTTTTCTGTAGGCCATAAAAGTTTAATTTGATTAAACGAATTATAACAAATTTAAGAATTCGTTCCAAAAATTTTCATTCGTTATATCAAATTTTGGAACTCGTTTGAACAAATTTAATCTATTATAACAACTTTTTGAATGCGTTATAACGAATTTAACAAATCTGTTTTAACAAATTAAATACGGTATAACGAATTAAAAAAAATGCTGTAACGAAAATTAAATTAATTTTAACAAATTTGACAGTTCGTTATATCAAATTCAATTTTTTTTTGATAGGTCCTTATGGGTTTCCGCACGGAAGCTCATTTAAAACCTATCAAAAAATATTTTTGAATTCGATATAAAGAATTGTCAAATTTGTTAAAACAAATTTTTATTTAATTCGTTATAATATTTTTTTGAATATGTTATGATGAATTAAATCTGTTAAAACAGATTTCTTGAATTCGTTATAACGAATAAAAAAAATTATAACAAATTAAACTCGTTTAAACGGATTCTAAAATTTGTTATAACAAATTAAATTCGTTATAACAATTTTTGAATTCGTTATAACGAATTAATTTGTTATAACAAATTGTTGTATTTGTTATAACGAATTCACAAATACTTTTCTATAGGTCCTAATTGTCAATTTTTACGGAAGCCCATTTATATTTAGGACCTATCAAAAAATATTTTTGAATTCGATATTTCGAATTGTCAAATTTGTTATAACGAATTTAATCCTTTATAACAATTTCTTTGAATTATAACGATTTCAATTTGTCGTAACAAGTTTGTTAAATTCGTTATAACGAATTCAAAAAATTGGTATAACAAAATAAATTCGTTTTAACGATTTCTAAAATTTGTTATTATATCAAATCAAATTTGTTTAAACAGATTCTTAGATTTGTTATAACGAATTAAATTCGTTGATTCAAATTCAACAATAAGGGCCTGTAGAAAAATATATATGCATTCGATATACCGATTTGTTGAATTCGTTTTAACAAATTAAAGAATCTGTTTAAACAAATTTAATCTGTTATAACAAATTTTAGAATTCGTTAAAACGAATTTATTTTGTTATGACAAATTTTTGAATTGGTTTTAACGAATTCAACGAATTTGTTATAACAGATTTAATTCATTATAATGAATTCAGAGAGATTGTTATAACGAATTAAATTCGTTATAACAAATTCGATTACAAGTATTCTTTATATCGAATTCAAAAATATTTTTTGAAAGGTCCTAAATGGGCTTCCGTAGATTTTGAATAAACGACTTTAATTTGTTATAATAAATTTAAGAATTTGTTTAAACGAATTTAATTAAATATTACAAATTTTAGAATTCATTTAAACAACTTTAATCTGTTATAAAAAAAAAATTTGCTGAATTCGTTTTATCAAATTCAACAGATATGTTATAACAAATTTAATTCGTTTTAACGAATTCAAACTAGAAATATGTCCATAGGACATGAATGCCCCGCCAAGGGTATATTAGTAATGCAACATTTTAACACTAATTGAGAAAAGTGAGGTCAAGGTCAAAGGAAAGGTCAAGGTCAAAAAATGTTGATGCAGTTGCATAGCTCTCATCAATATCTACCAGCATATGAAGTTTGATAAAAATAACTTGGATAGTTTCTTTGAAACTGAGCTTTGAACAGAGCTAAACGCACAGTGTGACGGAAGGACAGACAGAAGGACGGAAGACGGACATGACAAACACTATATGCCCCGGCCATATTCATGGCGGGGTATAAAAATTGTTATAACGAATTAAATTCGTTCAAACAAATTCAACGTTATATCGAATTCAAATTTTTTTTTTTATAGGTCCTTAATGGGCTTCCGTACTTTCGTACGAGTATTAAAAAACGAACTATCAACTTTTCAATAGAGCCTAACTGTGACACACTGCAGGCGCGTAGTAACGGGAGGAGGGGCTACCCCTTTTTTCCGAAGACTTTTTTTTACTATTTGAAATGTTAATTGAAAGGCCGGTTGGCCTCCCCACTTTTTGTTGTAGAATAGTCAAATAAGGGTTTTGTAGTAGTGTATGAATAAAAATTTGGTACTGAAAGAAGTTGGAACCCCCCCCCCCCCCCCCCCCCCCCCCCACGAAATAGGATTTTCGAGTTCGGACAATCCCCCCCCCTTTTTTTTTGGCTTGTCAAGTTTTTCCCAGGTAAGTTGATTTTTTTTTTCTCTGGCTGCCCCCCCCCCCCCCACTTTCAAAAACGATGCTACGTCCCTGCACTGCATGATGGTATCTGCTTCCATAATACATCGGAAATGAACTAAACCTATCTATATCCCAGCACAGTTATTCAAAACCAACCTGATGAACATCCAGGTCCACAATCAGGACTTTTTGGACTTGGCACTCTTTAAACAAAACAGCAGCAGTGACCGCCATATCATTCAAAAGGCAATACCCAGCCCCGTGGCTAGGAAAGGCGTGGTGAGTACCACCTCCTGTGCTGCATGCTATCCCATGCTCCATAGCAATTCGACCCGCCAAAAGTGTTCCTCCTATTTTAAAGCATTTAACAGAACTGAGAGTACGAACACAACACGTAGTTAAACATTGAACAAAAACATTAAATTTTTCCCGCAATGCATTTAATTTTTTTTTTATTAATGTTCCCCAACTTCAGTTGTAAAAGCACAGTGTATTAAACGTTTAATTTATGGATAACATAAATCAACGAAATTATATCCCAGTGAAAACGTTATGTGAACATAAAAAATATTTTTAAAAAAAGGTATTACATAAAAAAACAAGATGTGTTTGTGAAACACTATGCCCCCGATGGTAACACAATTCTGGAGTGGGACGTAGACTACAGTGCAATAGTTATGGCCAATGTTAAAAGTTTTTCAAATGTAGGTCAAAGGTCACAGTTGAGGTCACATGATCAAAAATTTCTGTACCAATGGAAAGGTCTTGTCATAATGAACACTCATGTCAAATATTAAAGCCTTACCCTTGACAGCACAGTAGTTATGGGCTAGGTTAAAGTTGACAACAGACAGACAAACAAACAGACAGACAGGATAAAAACAATATACCCCCGGGATCTTTCGATCCCGGGGCATAAAAACGCTAAATTATGATGCAAATAAAACTGCATGATGTATTTTTTTTTATTTAATAATTCATTCCTTGAAAGGGAACTGTAAAGCTACGGATCTCTAAACTTATCCCATATTTTCTCTGCAATCTTTGAAGAAGACATTATTCAGTATACAATATCACATTCAAGGATATCTTGATATCTAGATATTTTATGTATATTCTTTGAAAAAAAAGGTATTAGTAATTTCACGTCTAATTCAATCTTTTGTGATATTACATGTAGCGAGAAGGAGAATTAAGTTTTTAGAACTTGTGCCCAATCATTTCTTGCAATAAAATATGTTCAGATCAAATCATTAGTAATTTTAAAAACTGCTAAAATCTATTGCAAATAAAACTGATATTTGTTATGTTTTGCGTATATTGCCAAATGCAATATACATATAGTGACTTATATATACAGTTGGAGATTGTTCTTAACAATGTATGATTAATAGTGTTGTTTATTAGTTTTCAATCCAAAAATTCAAAATTACTTTATGAAGTCATTTTCAACTTTAGATTGAACATCAATAAACGATAATAGGAAGTAAATAATTTTCAGCTGGTCATTGTTTTTAAACTACATGATTAAAAGGAGGGGTGTAATTTACAGCTAGTAATTGTTTTTAACACACCTCAGGCCTGCAGCAACTGTTTCAAAAGTGCGGGGAGTGACCTCTGACAAGCAAAATAATAATTAAAAAATCCTTAACAGTCCAAATCTGGAATCTGTCAGTGCTCGAGCTTAGAGCAGCAAAAAATGGGGGGGGGGGGGGCAGCATCTAAATGAAAATGTACTGCAGCAAAATACTATACTCAGAAAAAGGGGCTGTACCTTTTTCACAATATTGACATTTCTTTAGAATCAAATTAAGATATCGTAGCGTGAAGTATAGTGCTAAGATCTATAATAGTATATTAGGAATAACAATGGCGTATATTCCATATAGGCAAAAAGGCTGTAGCCTACACATCATTTTCTTGAAGTAAAAATATTATATTTTTATACATGTATTTGGTTGAAAATGGGGAAAAGTTGATCATAAATCTTATTTATTTACCAGTTTACTAGAATCATCAAATGCAATAAAAGTATTTTTAGCAATCCACACTTTTATGCCTATCCAACTTTTACGTAGTTCACTTCTCCGACCCCCACCCTCCATTGAGGGTGAGCGGCTCCCTCCTTGCCTACCCGCAATTCGCGTTTCAGGTGAAATCTGTGACTTCACATTAGCCCACACATTAGCAGAAAGGAATATACACCACTGAATAATATCTAAAACACACGTAATAATACTCACTGTCATACACAATATTTTATTATTATCATACAATATGCAAAATTTCGTTGCTTTTTTATTTTCTAGAATCCACATTTGCTTTACACCACTTCTTGAATATGATGTATAACAATTTGTCTGAGGTAACTCCTTTACAGCATTAACATTTGATGAGGAATAAGCATTAGGGTTTACTTGACCCTGCAATATACATGTAAGTCTTTTATGAAGTTTCCGAAAGGGTACGGTAAATCAAACTCATTTCCATTGACTAGAATTGTTTTAAAACGTATTTAAAACTGAAAGGTGATTTTTGAAGAATTTCATTCCTTGCAAGGGAACTGTCAGTATAGGTTGGATTACCAGATGTGGAATTAAAACTTCTAAAATTATTCTAAAATGCAGTTGTAATAATGAGTCTTACAAACAAAGGCTATAATGATCTGACTATAGTTGAAAGGAGAGAAAGAACAAGCACAGTTACATAAGAGGATTTTGTTTTAGACGTTCACTGTCCACACTGTGGAGTTTGTTTTTAGAAAATTTTGGATGCAACAGTTGGGGAATATCTGTAGGAAAACAAGGGAGTACTCTTCAACTTGTAAGGTGGAATACAAGACTAAGCTTTTCACTTTGAAGAACATGGAGCACAAGCTTGCCTATCTGAGATTTTTATACACAAGATGCGTCTGATAGTAGTGTATGAGATATATATTTGCAAGCTTGTGCTCTATGTTTTCTGAAACAAAATTGCTGTAAAATCGATGAAAATTTACATAAAAATGAGAAATTTCGGAACTTCTTATATTTTCTGACCTTCCTGTGGCCTCTGTGTATCCCAGAACTTAGAACCAATAATCATTTAGTGACAGGGGTGACAACAGGATTTTATTGATAAACTGTTACATCATTCTAAAAGCCACCCCAAACCAGGGGCCAAAAAGGGGTCTTAGCCTATCTTGTTCTTTGACTCTACACTACCCAAGGATGCTTCCAAATAAATATGACATACTAATTTTGCCTTTGCTGTTCTTGAGAAGAAGATTTTTAAAGATTGTTTCCTATATATTCCTGTGCAAAACTTTGATCATCCATTGTGGCCCCGCACTACCCCCAGAGGTTATGATTTGAATAAATTTGAATCTATTTAACAAAGCTTTCACATAAGTTTCAATTCTTCTGGCCCAGTGGTTTTTGAGAAGATTTTTTCTCTGAATTTCTAATATGTAAATCTTTGATCGCTCATTGTAGCCCCATCCAACCCTAGGGGTCATGATTTAATTAAACTTACATCTACACAAGGTAATACAGCTTTCACATAAATTTCATCTTTTCTGGATAAATTTCTATCAGAAAAGCCCACTGAATTCTTTGGCTCAGGTGAGCTAAAAATGTCTGGAAGACTAACTATGATGGAATGACAACAGCAGAGTGACAAAATGATGGACAGAAATTGATAACACTATATGCCCTGGCCATTTCCTGGCAGCTGGTATAAAAACAGAATTTTTTTTAAAAACAGAACATATTTTACAGCAGCTAGATCAGAGCCTTTGAAAGAAATGTTTACTAGATAATATTGCCCATTGTCCGATACCCACGGGTGATCTCGTCTATTACTTATCATACATGTAATATCATCCTGATAAGTAAAAGTCGAGATCACCCATGGGTATCCGACAATGAATATTGCCTAGAAATGATCAATATTAGACTCTCAAAGTTGCAACTCCTGAAAATGTATCATAATTCATCTTTCAACATCGCAATGAATGATTTTTTTTTTCAAAAACAAAACAACGATCTAGCTGGTTTTACAGTTCATTAGACATTGATAAATCAGAGATTGATTCATTTAATTCTCATGGTGCTATTCTAGTCTTTCTGGAGTATAAGGTACTTTGGTCTAACTGCTTTGGGAGAATAATGTGACTTTTCAGAGGCAATATAATTATAAATTCCTAGAATCATGCAACTATTAAGTAATTTTATTAGACATAATACAACCTAAAAATAAGAAAAGATTGTAATGAAACTAAAGTATGCACACCTGTTTCTAATCTGCATCTTGATACAATTCCCAGACTCCATTTAAATCCAGTGAGTCTCTGCTCTTCAACTGTTGTTTTCCCAGTAAGGAATCGGTCAACATAGTTGGGAGTATGCACAAGTTTTAGCAAATCTGGGTCTATAGCAGTTGGTTTAAAGATCTGTTTCATTGATATCACATTATCAGTTCTGAGATATCGTAAAACTCCATGGAATTTTCTCATCGCAAATCTATGTTTAAAGGGAAATTCACACACGTATCCATCATGATGTACAATGGGAAGACCATGTATTTCCAGCCTTTTGACCTGAAAGATTTGAAAAAATAAAATATTTTTATAGGGAATATGTCTCTATAGTGTCTATCTTCTTATATCAAAATCTGAAAAGTCTACCATCCCCGAGAAAACCCTTGAAACTTAAGAATTCATCGCTGAGATACTGCATGTACTATATTACTTAGGAGAATTCATCACAAAACAGATATAATGAGGTATTCCTCGGGAAGGAGATTTTACTTATTAAATAGACTCAATCCAAATTACAAAACAATTTATATCATGTTATAAAAATTGAACAATATCTAGACAAAATTTAACCTGTATAATTCCAAGCAATCTGTAAAATTTTTTTTATGATAAAGTGTAACTGTTTAAATACCTGGTAATGGATAACATTCTGCTTTCAGGGGTTATCATGTTAATTGTAATGACTTTTAAAATAGAAGAATAACCTTCTGCAACAAGAGATGTTTGTGAAACATTTATGCCCCCTCCCAATAATGGAATTTTTCTAAGTCCAAGGGGGATAACTCTGACAAAAATTGCTCAATTGTACCCAAAACAGAACTTGAGTTAGATATTTTTATAATAAACCTGTATACCAAATTTCATTTCAGTATGTGCAACCTCTGCGAAGAAAAAGAACGGAAACTGCAAATAATTGGAATTTTTCTTAAGTCCAAGGGGCATAACTCTGTCAAAAATTGATCGATCATACCTAAAACAGAAATTGACTTAAATATTCTTATGATAAATCTGTATACCAAATTTCATTTCAGTATGTGTAACCCCTGCAAAGAAAACCTACCGACCTACAGACAGCATCAAAGCAATATGCCCTCCCTTCTTCGAAGGGGGACATAAATATAACAATGCTAAGTTTTCTGAATGTAAATTATTAGTGCTATACTGTCTTACCTTTTCAAGAATATCCCTACTGTTTGAGTGCTTTTTGCTTAAATCAAGTGAACATGACCTCTTTTGATCAGATGACTTGAATTTCATTTTTCTGCAGCAATTCAATTTCCTTATATCTGACAAAGATATTACATTCCTCATCTTCATCACTTCCTCCCATCAGCCAAAATTTTCTGTAAATATTAATCAATTAAATAACAAGCATTCTGAGAATATTGCATAAGCAACACTAGTCCCCTACTGATAAGTGTAATCTGGGATCCCTTAAAAATTAAAAAGGCCAACATTCTGCCAAAAATCATCGAGGCGGAATAAGATGCAAACTTTATCAGCATCTCTTCAAGGTACACTCACAAACCAAAAATCAGATCAATATCTGCATGCATTTAGAAAATCATAGGTATTCAAAGATTACTAAGCTTACCTCAAAGAATATCTATAAGGGGAAAAATACTTTCTGCGTGTGCTAAAGTACTGGTATTTTTAAAGATAAATTATTGGAATATTTTCTATTATCAGATTATATGAAATAATGTATTTTCAGTAACACAATAAAAGGAGGGTAATGTTAGACTTCAAAGCAGATTAATGAAAATGATGGAAACAATAAAAATAGTTAATTAACATAGCCAGATAGTTCAGTTGGTAGAGCCCCAGTGGGCTCGGGATCAAATCCTGTCTGGTCCATTGCATTTTCCTCCTTGCTGGTTACATATACATTGGTGCCATGACCATGCCCTGGAAGTGACAGGTGAGAGACCTGTTAGGGAAGAGCCTGGTTAGTGCCTTTGGGGTTGAGGACCTTTAAGGAGGGAGTAGTGTGGTGGTCAGACATCTTTGAGTGCTTGTTGCCAGATAGCTCTCCATTGGTAGAGCACCTGACTAGTTATTCAGAGTTTCTTGGGTTCAAATCCTGGTTAGGTTCGTCGCTTTTTCTTTCTGGCCAGTCAGGTATTTTTTATGTCTTCTTTTCAAAATAATGATCATATGTACCTAGCTGCAGAACTGTATCTCTCTGGTTGAAAAAAATTGTACAGACAACATATCTCGCATCATATTTTTTTTCTAGTTAATTTGCATCCCAAAATCAATATCTAAGCAAGTTTGATTTAAGTAGGACTTATAGTTACTTGGAAATGGACCTGCTCCAAAAACTTTAACCTTTCACTAATCAAGAAAATGTCTGTCAGTTCAAACATCCGAAGCAAGTCTGGAAGTGTCCATCCCTCGATGCATCATCTATGTATAACCATAACAGGCCACATAGCTATACTGCTACTTCAGAAACATTATCCTCATGGTCACTCATCTGGAAAATGTAGGTCAGATTCAGGATCCAAGGCTGGTCTGGAAGTGGCCATATCTAAATTCATCATCCATGCTAATTTGGTTAAAGTATTGCTAAAATTCACTCATCTGGAAAATAAAGGTCAGATCCAGCATCCGAAGCAGGCTGGGAAATGGACATCCTTAGATGCACCATCCATGAGATTTGTGGACGGTATGCGTCTTACCAGGGTGTAAACTGTAGAAATCATGCAAGGCAACAAACTTTGTGAGGAAGACCCTGTCTCTCCTTTTTTTCTGCATTAGTCAGACCCAGCACAATCAGCAGTATAGATTACCAAACCAGAGCGACAGATTCATGCATTGTAAAAATCTTCAATTTACAGGAACACTTATTTTGTCGCTGGCTTCGGGTATTATTTCTTGCATTATATGTGTTTCCCCATTTAAAGGATGATATTACTTAATTATAACCATATTTTATTAGTAATCCTGATACTTTATTTACCTTTCAACTGTTACAAACAGCTATGTGGCCGGGTTGGAATGTCAGCTTTTAAATTCACATTCCTACGTCCATATGGTGGGGTCATCCTAAATTAACGTGACCTAAAGGTAAATAGAGTATCAGGAATAAGAGTTAAATATATGGTTAATTAACAGATACCATACTTTAAGCTGAAGAATGCATATACTATACATTAATACAAGAAATAATACCCAAAGAGAGAATAAAAAAGCTTTGCTGTAAATTGAAGGTTTTTACAATGCTTGGAGATGTAGCTCTCTAGTACGAATTTTCTCAAGCAGAGATCGAGCTACAGTTCTGCAACTAACATGTACCATGCGCATATCAAAAATATAAAAGTGGGGATAAGAGTCAGAAGAATATCGTATTACCCCCTCCCCAAACTGAAAAAAAATCCATTAACTGATCAACTGCTGACATTAAACTGTTGCACATCTAACACTGTGGTGATCGAGGGCTTGTCCTGAGACACTGCTTATTCTAGCTTCAAGAGTGTGCAATTACCATCGCCCGACGCCCGGGGCTACCAATTTTAGAGGTCAGGCTATCATAAATCTATACTGCATTAGCCCGTTGGGCTAGTAAATCTAAAACGAAAGTATAATATATAGTATATATAACCCTGCCTGACCACTGCAATATTCAGGCTTTAACCAATGTTAAATTTACAGTGAAGACTTGACTTTCATCAAGCTGCATGCTTTAAACACTAATGTATTTTAAAAACAAATGCAAACTATGGTTATGATCATGTATAATGCTGTAATAGTATGACACAGTAGCTTTGTGCAGATATACCTGGTTTAAAAACATAAACATATCCAGGTGTTTTTGTTTACCATCAGAAAACTAAATAAATCGTACGTAAATTTGTCCGCTCAAAAATATATTTAGGACTAGGATATATGATATCTAAAAATTCATTTGAATGATATAAAAAAAGTCATTTAAGCACATAGGTAGTTTTTTGCTATTAATATTTTTCAGTTGTATTATATTTAAGTGTTACATATCTCGAATTAGTTTTTGGTCAAGTTACTCAAAATTAAAAATGGACGCAAAAATAGTGCAGAAATGTCCACTGAACAAAAATAGCAATGAAACTGTCATTCAAAAGCAATTTTTATATACAAGAACGATAAAAGCAAAATTCTTTCTAGGTAGTTTTCATGGATAAATCTTAGAGGCAAGTTTTTAAACATTTATTCGCTGTTAATGGTCTATACAATGTGTGTATCGATACAGACAGATGCAGTCTATCTTCTGCTCATTAAACAGTTAAACTTACGATCTGGTAAATCTTTTCAAGGTTTAAGCTTTGCCTGGAGCTAATAATTGCGTCTTTGTGAGTGGTAGAAATATTATTTGATGAAAAATATGTTATTTCATATTTTTTTTTATGTTTGACATCCTCGTTACACCACCAGTGACCACAGCCAATGAAAACGCCGATATGAAACACACCTCTTAAACAGCTGGCAGCAATGAATCAGAACAGAATATTTTTGTTTTTGAATAATATCCAATGTGATAGGGATTCTGTTCTTTTTTTAATTTGTCCAGTGTACAAGAAATGATCCAATATGATATATACAATATATATGAATAATATGATACTATTATATATATTTACATTGCATTCCTATAAATTAACTTTTAAAAATTAGATGAGTTGATTCCTTGATAATTAAACATGAATATTAATTTTGTCAAGGACAGGAGCCTAACTTGCATGTCAATCTGTTGCGGCTGTCTTTGTTATCGCTTATATTTCAAGACAGTTATCATGTATTTTGTTTATCCTGCAACATATTTTTACATTTGAAGTCCAAAAACTAGCTATTTTCAACAGATTTAGTCACATCTCTGCAGTTGAAGCTATGATGCCATGGCTCAAATATTGCAATTTATATGACTTCACAATGCTTTTAGAATGTCGGAATAAATGCAAGAGGTTTTATTAGGGCATTGACCGAATAAAGCTTTGGTTTATTAGGTTACCTTTATTCAGTCAATACAAGGGGTGGTTGCAGGATAAATTGCTTTCTCTGTGATAACTTCTAAAAGTTAGGTGAGTTGATTTCTTGATAGTTAAACTTGAATGTAAATTTTGTCAAGGTCAGGAGCCTAACATGCATGTCAATCTCTTGCGGCTGTCTTTGTGTCTAATGTCAGTGGGTGGGGACTATAGTATTGAAATTCACCCATTATGCAAATTATCCCACATTTCCAACTATCGTTGATGCCCTGGCATACCCAACAAACTAGACAGTGATTCCTTAAGTAGATTGTAAAGTTCAGTTGTATCAAATGTTGGGAATAGCTGAAAATAATATCTTTGGATTAATGCATTTCATTCATAATAGCCTTAATTTTTTGATTATACAAATTTCTTATTCCCAGGTCATGTTATTAAAATTAGTCGTTCATGATGGAAAGTATGTACTCCATAAAAGATTTCTACATTGTCATCAAGCTTTCCTACAAGTATTTCAGCATCAAAAAGTCAACACCACATTAACCAATGCAGGTAAGAATTCTGTTAAATATACATACATCTTGATTTAATTCATAAACTATGAGCAGGTCTAGTACAATCAGCACAATTAGTTACATAGCTTGAATTATCTACCGTAGGTTTATTTAGCTACTTCAGGTAACTTAATTTATTTAGCTATTTTAATGCCACTTATAACAATTTTGCCTTTTATTTAAGATAGACCTAAAAATCGCAAGTATATAACAAATTATACATTTATTTATAGTAGGAATTTTTAGAAAAGCAATCCATAGCAGCGAAAGTTTATACATTGCTGCTTTTGTACACTTCTAAGCAAAAGATGTTTTTCCATTATTTGAGTAACTGTACACCACCTTGTGTGTGTTGAGGCATGTATAAGTATGATTACTTTACACTGTGCCAAATAATTACCAATCAATTATCATGTTAACCAGAACTGGTCCTCTTTGTTATTTCATTCAAGAGGTAACTGTTTGGTTATAAATGAACTGTTGTATATATAGCCCCAAAACTTTTAGAACTTTGATTGCAATTTTAATTGCACAGAAGAAAAAACACTCCTCATATATGATTTTTTCATGAATTGTTTCAATTCAATTCAAAGGTAAAAATTATCGTTGCATCAAAGTGCAATTTTATGCACAACCTGAGAAAAATGTTCCTTTTAAGAATTAATTAAGAAATAAGCTTGATTTAGTAGCTAAATAAAGCTACTTCAGGTAGGTAAATAAAGCTATGTAGGTAATTTAAGCATAAGATATCAAAACTATACCTCATTGTAATTATTTAGTTTAGATTTGATTTGTACATTGTAATTGTTACAGGTTATAGGAAATGGCATTCTTCCTCACTCTTTCCTAGTCGGAAGTTTTTGGATCTAGTCAAACCATGTGTCACTGGTGAAAGACTCCTATTTAGCCACAATAAAAACTGTGATAATACTCAAATTCAAAAAACTGGCATGTATACTAAAGAATTTATGTCATTATTGCATCATAAAAGTTGGTTTAAAATGAAGATCATAGAAATATGCCAATGAAATGGTGCATAGTCAAACTTTCTGTAGCAAATTTCTGATAGTTATTCATTAAAACTGTTCAATCAATTTTGTTTTTTCAACTCATATCAACCACTTAAGAAAAAGCATATGCACACCCAAGACTAGTCAATTTTCTTCAGGGGGGATAATTGTTCACTTCATTCTGTATTTACAGATTGTGAACTACTGGATCAAGTAGACTGGTAAGTGATTCACACTGCAGTATATCATTCCATTGAACATTTTATGTTATGACTTCCTCAAAAGTAGAGATATTATTGAGGTTATCACTTATTACTTATTATGCCCCCCTTTTAAGAGGGGAGGGCATATTGCTTTGCTGCTGTCTGTCAGTCTGTCGGTCCACCAACAGTTTCCTTTCATTTTCTTTGCAGAGGTTGCACATACTGAAATGAAATTTGGTGTACAGATTTATCATAAGAATATCTAGGTCAATTTTTGTTTTGGGTACAATCAAGCAATTTTTGACAGAGTTATGCGCCTTGGACTTAAAAAAATTCCAATTATTTGGGGAGGGTGGCATACACTGTAAGTGTTTCACAAACATCTCTTGTTCTTTAAGTATTTTACCTTCAATATGTCGAATCCTCCAATATCTCAATTTTTTTTCTTAATACATGTAGTACCTTCGAGTTCAAGATAACAAGGTTTGACTGTTTATTGTATGCACCCAAAAATGTCACCTCCCCATCTTACAACCAAGCTTTGGATTTAAGCACATACATGTATATTTTGCAATAATAATTAAGCTTCTAACTGTTTTATATACAGGCAGCTTGTAATTAAGAGATTACAACATGACAGTAAAACACCTAAACCTAAGGAGGGCTTGTATTTATTCAAAAGAGAACCCAATTATGGTAAGTGCTTATCTTCCAATGTGTTCCTTTCTAATACATGTATTGTCCTTTTTAAAAATAGAATGTGTGTTTTTAGCTCTACCGGTCAGAGACCAGAAGAGATTATGTGATAGTAAGTTGTCCGGCCTCCATCCATCTAGCTGTCTGTCTGTCTGTAAACAATTTTTCAAAATGCAACTCCTCCTACTGTCTTGGTCTGATTTCAGTATAACTTGGCACACAAGTAGACTCCAATAAGGTACATAATTTAATGCATTGAATGTTGCCATTCTTTCCAAAGATAAAAATTTCTATGTTCAAAATGCTATTTCTCTTACAGTTTTGGTCTGATTTCAGTATAACTTGACACGCAGGTAGAATACTCTGAGATACATTTTATTTTTTATCGATATTTGTTTTTTTATGAGCACTGTTTCCATGGTTACTAAAAATATAAATTTCTTTGAAATACTTTTAAAATGCTACTTCTCCTGCAGTTTTGATCTGATTTCAATATAACAATGCACACAAGTAGACTACACTGAGATACATATTTTTATATCAGTTTTTGATTTTGTCGAAAGGTCATGCCATTGTTACTAAAAATAGAAATTTCTGTGAATTACTTCCAAAAG